ATCGAAAGAACTAATCCCAGATATAGAGGTTGTCCCACTTGTAGTGTGTGCTTATATATATGTAGGATAGAATAAGAGAGAGTTAGTATTAAACCTACCGTCTAGACTATTGGACGTTTTATTTATTCCCCGAACCACCCAACACTACATGGCGACCCTGCCAGGACACCAGAAAATGGTGAGGACAGGAGCTGGCGCTTGGTTATCGATTTTCGAAAATTAAACAACTGTATTGTAGATGACAAATTTCCGTTACCCAATATTACAGACATATTAGATTCCTTATCAGGAGCAATGTATTTTACCCACCTTGATCTCAATCAAGCTTGTTACCAATTAAGCCTTAATCCATCTAGTAGAAGGTATACGGCTTTCACTACACCCTCTGGTCAATATCAGATGACCAGAATGCCAATGGGCTTAAAGACAAGCCCAAGTTCCTTTTCTCGTGCTATTACAATATCCATGGCTGGTTTAAATTACGAAAAAGCGCTCACTTATTTAGACGACCTCATTTGTTTTGGCAGAAACTTAGATAATCATAATAAAAATTTAATAGAAATATTATCGCGCTTAAGAAAAGTAAACTTAAAGTTAAACCCGAAAAAATGTGTTTTTCTAAAAAAAGAACTTCTTTATCTTGGCCACATTGTTTCTTCCGAAGGTATTAAGCCTGACCCAAAAAAGATATCAGTATTACAAAATTACCCAATTCCTCAAAATACCAACGATGTAAAAAGACTAGTAGCGTTTGCGAATTACTATCGAAGATTTATACCAAAATTTTCTGAAATCGTTTTACCTCTAAACAATTTATGTCGCAAAAATGTTAAATTTCATTGGAATAAAAACTGTAAACTATCTTTTTCAACGCTTAAAAATGCTTTAACGACTCCTCCCATACTTCAGTACCCAAATTTTGACCAAAATTTTATTTTAAAAACTGACGCGTCTGGTTTTGCTATAGGCTCCGTTTTATGTAATCATGACGGACGACCGGTTGCATATGCTAGCCGCACTTTAAATAAAGCCGAGAAAAACTATCCTACTATCGAAAAGGAATTATTATCGATAGTATGGGCAGTAAAATACTTTCGACCTTATTTATATGGACGCGAATTCATTATTGAAACGGATCATAAGCCTCTCGTATATTTATTCAACATGACAAATCCGTCAAGTAGACTTACGAAGTTTAGGTTATTGCTTGAGGAGTATAAGTTTGTTATCAAGTATGTAAGGGGAGCTGACAATGCAGCTGCAGATGCTTTGTCACGCATCCAAATTTCGAGTGAAGATTTGAAAGAAATGAACGAAAAGGTCATATCTGTTCTAACAAGAGCGCAAAGAAAGCGAATAAAAAACAAAATTGCGCAAGATAAGCGTGACAACCCTACGGAGGATAAGGTTACCACCAACGATTGGACTGATCACCCAAAAGTCGTGGGAACACTTAAACAACCGAAGGATTGCACTGAATTATTATTTGTAGACGAAAAAGAATGGAAAAGGATAGACAGAATGAAAGAAAAGTTCTATTCTAACTCTAAGTTATTTTGTTTTGTCTCAGCAAAGTCAACAATTTATGTAAATCCTTCTTTCCGATCATATTGTGCACGAGATGCCTTTGTGAGGGAGTTGGATTGCTTTTGTAATAAGCGAAAAATAGATCGTCTGTATATTATACAAAATAATAATAACAATATATTAATTAGGGAGTTAACTCGTATTATAAATGAGACACCAAATAGGTCCGGACCGCGAATATTAATTTTAAATGGTGTCCATAAAATCGACGATCATGAGACAAAACGTATAATATTAAACGACTATCATCTATTGCCAACTAGCGGTCACGCCGGTATAAGGCGAATGATAAACAATATAAAGAAAAGATTCTTTTGGCCCGGGTTAGAGAAGGATGTGACTAATTATGTAAACCAATGTGACAAGTGTTTGCGATATAAGCACTTAAATAAGCATATAAAAGAACCAATGGTGATAACCGATACGGGATATTCTGCTTTTGATAGAGTTTATTTAGATTTAGTAGGGCCCTTATGTAAAGATAGCGATAGTAATGTTTATATACTCACACTACAGTGTGATTTAAGTAAGTATGTTGAAGCCTATCCGCTTAAACATAAGGATACTATTTCAGTGGCATCGTCTTTTATCAATAATTTTATTTTGAGATATGGTATTCCTCGACAAATAATATCTGACCAAGGGACCGAATTTGTTTCAACCGTCATGAAAGACGTGTGCCGTATTCTCAAAACGCAACAGGTAACGTCAACAGCATATCATCACCAATCTATAGGTTCCTTAGAAAACAGCCACAAAAATCTAATGTCATTTCTCAGAATTCAAACAGGTAATGAACCACATAACTGGAGCACTTGGTTACCGTATTGGTGTTTTGGTTATAATAACACTGTACACACGGAAACCAAGTATACTCCATATGAGCTTGTTTTTGGGAAGCTTTGCCGTTTGCCAACTAATTTAACTTTAGATATAGACCCCTTATATAACCCATATGATTATCCACAACAACTTAGATGTAGACTTCAAAAATCGCAATACGATGCAAGAAATAATTTAATTTTAAGCAAACAAAGTAGGAAAACAAAGTATGATTACTATACCAATCCAATTAAATATAATGTCGGTGATATGATACTCCTTAAGAATGAACAATGTGTAAACAAACTTGATCCTCTTTATATAGGACCATTTAAGGTTATCGAAGATTGTGAACCAAATGTAACAATAGATTACAAAGGTAAACATAAGTCAATACATAAAAATCGCACTAGACCATATACATAAAACAAAAAAATTGTTATTATTACTATAAATACAAATAAAATTAATTAAAAATTACTGTGTTTACGATTTTTTTTTTATTATGATATAAGTATGTTATAGTATAAGAATTTTAATACTTTGTAATGTACACCTTTTATATAATTTTTTTTATAAACCATGTTATGTTACATTTAAAAAAAAAAAATTTTTTTTGTAAATGATTTTTTTTTCTTTTTGCCGATGGGCGTGTAGTGTGTGCTTATATATATGTAGGATAGAATAAGAGAGAGTTAGTATTAAACCTACCGTCTAGACTATTGGACGTTTTATTTATTCCCCGAACCACCCAACACTACACACTAACAGAGGTAATTCAGTGCTAAATTATCCGGACCTAAGGATGAGTTCCAGCTATGGAGGTTTCTCACTTATCCAGGTCCCACTTAAGCAAGTTTTACTGTAATAGGAAACACTGTATACTGTATTCTATCTCATTATCTCGCAGGCTAAATCCTATAGATGTATATGTTTATTTATTTTAGGGTCGCTTTTTCGTTTCATCGACTTTGAAATCACAACGATTCTAAAGAAGTTTTCACTCCAAAAAATATTCATCTATCTGATCGGAAGTAAATGTTAAAGCTATTGTGACAATACATAAGTCATAGTATTGGAGACCATTTATACAATAGGAATGGACATATGAACTACTAAAACTAGAGCGAAAATATAGCTTCACACTTTCTATTATACTGTTTCATAGCTAAGTAACTTCTAAAATTTATATTAAGTACAATGTATCAATACTGTTGAAGTTCTGAATAAATAAATTAAAAAAAAACAAAACATAAAATTATATATTATAAACAACTAAACATCTCGTATAAAAGAACTAAAAACGGTAATAATTGACGTATGCCTTCTCTACTAACCGCATGAGGAAGCTTAAAATGGCTCGGCGAGCTATTAAGAGTTCGTAATTCGTAACGAAGATATTCGCAGAGCCAAACCAACCGACAGGCAAACTGATCAGTTAACAGAAGTAGCGAGGGCCGGTAAAATAATATGTCGCCCCGCCAATTGATAGGAGGTTCTTGAGCGGTGGGCTTGCACCGGTATGCGCAGTATACGACGGCCCACAAGACATTGAGTTAAGACGTAGAGTTACGACATGCAATAAGTCCACAGATACAGGTGGCTTAGGAGTGTGCTTTGTGGTAAACTGTAGGGAAGAATGTTCACCAGTTTACTGGTTGGCTGCATTAATCATGATGATAAACAGAATTCAACTTGTTTTTTCGTGACATTTCTAATAATTTCAGTTTAAAAAAATGTATAATCCACAGAAACGAAGTCCCGATCTCAGCACGTTTTATAAATTTATATACAAATAAAAAAACTTATCAAAATACAATCAATCTTAAGAAATAAACTAATAAATCTCTAATTTTATAATATATGTACGTTTAGTGTTTGATATTGACCAGAAAATGGAAAGTCATACTTAGTATTAATAATACATTCAAAAACATAATGTCTCTTAATTTACGACTAAACGACATGCAGACAGGGTTTTATAAAAGATTATTATATTATTATAGTGTGCATCATTCTTAAATAATAATTTTAAAGTGATAATGTACATCTGAAGTTATGTAGTGCATCACTTTTTTACGGTCTTCATGGCGTTTAATTTTAATTTATTTTTAATGCC